ACTCCACCTAAGAGCTTCAGCGTTCATTGTTTTCACTCTGTAATTAATCTGAAGAGAAGTTTGTCACAATTGTGGTGGTTTTGGATTCAGCCGACAATACCATTTTTCGTATCGCAACATTTATTTCAGAGAGAGACATTAAGAAAAATTAACGTTAAAGAAGAAAGATAAAATTTGATGCATTTGGATTGGACTCGGACCTGAGTCGGGCTTAAATTGGTCAATTAAACTATATTAAAAATTAATATACATGTGTGTATATGTATGCATGTAAATATATATCTACATATATGTACATGCACATATATATGATCGAGCTGGGCTTGGGTTATGCTAAGATTGGGCCGAACTTGAGTTTTCCTAACGATTAGGCCAGCGCCCAATCTAAAAAATATAAAAGTCCAAACTTTTTATCCCAACCCAATCTGAGACCAAAATTTTAAACTCAATCCATGTAAAATTATTGGTTAAATCAGCCAGGACTTAAGTTGAATTTGTCCAAATTGCAACCCTAATATGTATCAATGCTTTGATCTTTTATTATCAAGTAATTACTTTAAACCTTAATTATGCAAAAATCTTGTTTATTGGGCTGATTTAACTTTATTACCCTGTACCACCCTAATATTATAAAACCACAACGGGAGGTTCTCACGTTTGTTTTGTGACATCTATAACACTTAAAACACTTATGTGTTTAAAAGAACAAATAAGCAATTGTTAGTTATGTTATGTGGCATGTAACATCATACTTTCTTCCCTTTTTTAGGCCCTGTTCATTTTTCAATAAGTTATTTATTCAGGTAAATACAATTATCTGGGTAAGTTTTTTCTGGAAGGTAAGTGTATTTACCCATGTTCTTTTATTTCTCAAGTCAAAAAAAAGGAAATGACCATTTTAACCATAAAAATCTAATATTAAAAGGGACATTTTTGTCCCATTCAAGTATTGGAAACTTTCCCCCTGGTGGGAAAGTTATTTACCCACCTAGGGTAAGTGAAACCCAAGAAAATAAACTTTCCTTCGTCTCCACATTAATCTGAAAAGAAATATGGAATTCTTGGTCAATGGGAACCAAACTCTCCCCCCCCCCCCTTTATGAAAAGGCTATAACTTTCATTAGAAATCTTAGTAGACTCATCTTTTACAATTTTCTTCAAGAACACTAGAATAGAACACCAGGTACAAGAAGAGATACAAGTCAAGCCAAAATGAGCTAAGGAATGAGCCGCCTTGTTTGTCGATCTCGATGGAAACACTACTGAGAAATCAGGATGGTGATTCAAAATATTATTGCAGTTGTGAAAGTGTGTAAATACACTCCATGGAGGATTACCATAATCTTCCAACAAGAAATTAATCAGAGTGGCACAATCACCTTCAAAGATTGCCTTGAAAATACCACAAGATAATGCAAATTAGAGACTTTCAAGCAAAGTACGGGACTTAAATTCCAAGGCAGAGCATATACAAAGAGGAACAGCTCGAACATAGATCAAGGTTCCATACTGATCCCTAATGAGCAACTTTCCCTCCTCTCAAAATCCATAAAAATAACACCCCCTTAATACTACATTTTAAGTATTACAAATTTTTGGCTTATAACCCTAGGGTACTAAATATTTCTGATGATGTCGCCTTCATGATTTAACTCCACCTAAACACAGGTGGTTTGACATAATGATTTTAGCTTTGCTGATGCAACTTGGGCGAGTAGTAGAGTATAGGTAGATCCTAAATCCTTGCCCAAATCCGACGAGTCCACAAGGCCAAACCTTATAAATAAGCATGACTTCCCCTCCATTCCCACTAGGGCTGTCAATGGGTTGGGTCCAACCCGAACCGAGGGGGCTGGTTTTGATTTTGGGAACTGGAGTCGATGAGTTTTGGTTATGGGTCTTGATATAGGATTCCAATTACTATTGGTTCCCGATTTCACCTAGTCCCGAACCAATTCAGACCTGATTACTATACATATAATATATATAGGATATTCGATATATATTAAACATAAATATTTATTTTTTATTTATTATAATTGGGTTTGTCAGGTCATACCCGATTGTCTCAAGAACCAATTGATTTGGTTCCATGTCCAAAAGTTACAGACCCTATTGGATTCAGTTCCAAGTAGGGGTACAAGTTGGGCGGGTTGGACCGGGTTTATGGTCAACCCAGGCCCAACCCTAAAATTTGGGCTTAAGGCCCAAGCCTGAGGTCAAGCCCGATTTTTCCAACCCGAGCCTAGTCTGCCTTGCAATTTGATGCACTCAAGTTGGGCTCGGGCATGGGCTGGGCTTGGATTGGTAAATGAACCCACTCTAAAATTATACATATACAAATGTATTTATGCAAATATATATACATATATTTATGTATGTAAATATGTATGCAAAATAGCTATACAAATGTTATATATACAAATATATATATATATATATATATATATATGTAAATATGCATGCAACATTTACATATATACACATATATATGTATAAATATATAATTGGGCCGGGCTCAGGCTGGGTTTGAGCTACCTAAGGGCTAGACCCGAGCCCGACCCAAAAAATAAAAAAGCTTGACTTCCTGGGCATGAGCCCAGCCCAAGGACCGAAAATCCAAGCCCAACCCGTGTAAAATTCTGGGTTGGGTTGCTTCGAGCTCGGGCTAGGCCCGCCCAAGTTGCACCCCTAGTTCCAGGTCCAAATCCTCAACATTTAATGTTAGGTCTATTAAGAATCATTTATTTAATGATTGAAGAAATATCTATTTGGGAAATTTTCACTTTAATACCATCAATTAAATGTGTCACTGCAAAAAAGCGTCAAATTGGTCCCTGTCGTTAATCAACCGTTAGTTATCTATTGAAAATGTTAAAATTACCCTTCAAAAGAAGACATTGTTCATTGTCTTCTACCTTGAGACTGAACTAGTTATCTTCAAAGACAGAGAGAAAAAACATGAAATATGACAGAGGGAAACAATAACTGAAAGCAAAGAAATAACTAGACAATAATGTATTTTAGATCTAAAAGTAGAAGACAATGACTTCAATAGTCTAGAATCTCAAACACCTCAACCAGTTTAGTCTCAAGGTAGAAAACAATGAACAATGTTTTCTTTTGAAGGATCGTTTTGACATTTTTAACAGGTAACTGGCGGTTGGTTAATGACAATGACCAATTCAACACTTTTTGAAAGTTTAGGTACTATAGTGATACCTTTGAAACTTCGGGTACTCACTTGACACTACCCCCAAAGTTTAGGGTACTAAAGTGGAATTTTCCCTATCTATTTTTAAGAATCTCAAAATTAATCATTACAATAGTGTTTTTTTAAAAGGATTATCAAAAATGATTAATTTAACATTTCGTTTTTTTTTTAATGTGGCAAGCTTGTGGAAAGTTAACGCCTACTATATTTTATAATGGAAGGGAGTAATTATATTTTTTCAAAACTATAAAGGTGGTTTTTGTTAAAATCTAAAACATATGGGAGTTTTATATGTTTGTCACAAAATCGGAAAAGTTTTTTTATTTTAGGGAAAATTCCACTTTAGTACCTTGAACTTTGGAGGTAGTGTCAAGTTAGTACCTGAAATTTCAAACATGCAACTGCAGTACTTAAACTTTCAAAAAAGTGTCAAGTTGGTCCCTGCCATTAATAGACCGTCGGTTATCTATTGAAAATATCAAAACTACCTTTCAAAAAAAAACATTACTCATTGTCTTCTACTTTGAAACTGAAAGGTTGAAGTGTTTGAGATTCTAGAATAATGAAGTCATTGTCTTCTACCTTTAGATCTAAAACACATTATTGTCTAGTTATTTCTTTGCTTTCCGTTATTGTTTCCATCTATCATATTTCATCTTTTTTTTCTCTCATTGTCTTCAAATATAAATGGTTTAATTTCAAAAGTAAAAAACAATGAATAGCGCCTTCTTTAGAGGAATAGTTTTGACATTTCAATAAATGACTGTAAATTAACAGCAGTGACCAATTTAACACTTTTAAAAATTTAAATACTGCAATGACAGGTTTAAAAGTTTCAATGCTAAGTTAACACCACCCCCAAATTTAATGAGTTTAGATCTATGCCCCACATTGACACAGCACATCCCTGTCGTATATTAGGAACATCTTTTGATGATGATATCATCATTTTTGATACATCATCGGGAGATGTTCCCATACACGGCGGTGCTGTGCTGTAGAACGCTGTGGGGCGCCCCTTTTGTTGGGCGCAGATGTGAACTCAAACTTAAAATAAAACTTATGGTACTAAAGTGGTATCCCAAAAAACTGTGTTAACATTAACACGCTTATTTCCCGATGTGCGGCTGGATAACCGTGTTAACACGCTTTTGCTAGCAGAGGATCCCGACTCGTTCGCTTTACTCAATCCAGGACAAGTCATACTTTTCCCATACAGTAGTACACGTTAGAAACAATACCAATCAGTCAATCCTCTGATCTCGTCCTCATCTTTTTCTTGTCAGGATAAAATAATAATCTCGAGATCTAGCTACAGCCTTTCTAAAAGGATTCACCTTGGAAATCTCATACATACATTTTTATGACCGGAAGGAAAACATCTTATTTGAACAGCATATATAAGAGTAAGGGGGCGGGAGATGGAGCCAGCCAGCCCAGGATATTCGATCTTCCTTCCATCACGTGAACCCCGTCTGCGGTACTGATGACATGGCGCTGTTCTACTAGACCAGGACCGTATAACTTTGGCCAGTAGAAAGAGTCAAACGCAAAAAGAAGGGCCAGAAGGTAATCACAAATTATACGGTTAAGGCTTGTAAATTCCCGGTTTTCCGAAAAATATTTCTAACGTGACGCCGTGACGGTGAGCAGGCTTGTGTAGCACTAACACTAGCAGGGTGTTTAAGAAAATAGTTTCTTCTTTTTCGGTAGCTTCCTCTCTTCTTATGTCAAGAATCAAGATCGCATACAGAGAAGACGACCAGATGCAATTTGTTGGTCCCCGTTTACATTAACTAATTATTTTTACTTCGTCTTGCTTCTGCAAATATTTCAACAACAGACTACATAGACATAGTTACATACATCCCAAGGCGTTAAATGAAAATTTGTAAAGGAGATCAGAGACTGCGAAGAAAAGGTGGAGATGATCATGGAAGAAATCTTAAAAAAAGAAAAAGAAAATATCAGAAATTCCCCTACTGATGTTTCCTCCTCCATTTCCACTTTCAAAACCCCAACTAGAAAAGTAGGAAATTACAGTCTATTATGTGAAAAGAAAAGCGAGGAAAAAGAAAACACAAATTCCAGTATCATTCAGATCTATCCATGGAAGACCGAACAGCTTTAGTAACGGTGGGTATTAGTAGGCCTCCAAGCAGAAGCTGTAAGCAAAGAGAGGTCCTTCCATCCGAGCTTGAGTGTGCCGTTGTCCTCAACAAGGGTGTAGCCGTCGCAAGGGAACATGCCCAGCAATAGGGTAGCCTGAGTAGCAGCATTCCCGGCCAAGGATATGCCTCTAAACCCAGATTGCTTCAGCTTCTCCCTCCAGTTGTGGAACTTCACTTCCCCACTCCTTGCCGGTCCCCCAACCGCCAATACGTTCCTTATCTCTCGTGACAGTAGCTGTTGCTCCACTATGTGTCTTTCCTCGCTCTCCTCCCCGTAGCTTGCTCCGAGCGAGTCGAACAATGCTGAGTAATAGTGTATTGCCTCAACGAACCTTCCCAAGAACGATCCTGCATGGCTTAGGTCCTGCTCTACTATCGTCACAACCTTCGGCGCCAACCTGACCAACAATCCCCCAACAATGTATGTTTCACATGTGTTCTTCCATTTTAATGAATCATTTAGTTGCTTAATCAAACAAGAATTAACATCAAGAAAAAAAATGAAAATGAAAAGCAGCTAAATCAAATACCAATATATATATAGAGCAAGACTTTAATGACCAGTAAAAATGATTAATCTTCGGGTCCATTAACAATTTAACATGCAAGTTATAATATGAGAAATGAACAGCAAAAATGTTAGAAGAACCATCACCAAACTTGTGAGTTCGGCATATCCTTCATGTTCTAAGATGGAATTAATTGTATGAACTGTTGGCTGTCATAAATCAATAATAAACATAATAAATCAAGCAAGAACCAAATAAAACAGAAATTAAGAAAATAATTTTAGAACTGCTACCTCTGCAGGAGCCAAAGAGTATTGTTGTCGGAGCCGGTGACGTCGTACAGTGAGTGGTGCAACCAATGCACCGCAACGGCCTCCCTCTTGCTCACATTCAACCTCTCCGGGTCCAAATTCCCAACTTTATCCGCAACCGGAAAGAACTCAAACGGCAGCCCCAACGTCTCCGCGAAATCCGACAATCGCTTCCCCGTGGCCTCCAAAGCCTCCATGGAGGTCCCAAGGCCTGTGAGCCGAACAAAGGGCGGGCCACCTGGTCGAGATGCTAATATGTGGAAGAGCCCAGGCCACTGGAGGCCTTGCATTATGTCGAGGTCGATAATGTGCACCCTCTCCTCCCTCTCAAATGCTTCTTGTATGGCTTGGTTCGCCGTGAAATGTGAGAACTTGACGAATGGGCTGATGCCGTTGAACACTTGGAAGGCCGATACTATCTTCTGGTTATGCGCAGGTGCATTCGGCAAAGGTGCATATATGCCCAAGCACGAGCTCACCAGCCGTGCTGACATTGCTTCCGAGAAATAAGCGGCTACTCTCTGTGCAGATGTCCCAAATGGCGTCGAAAGCTCTGAGATCTCTAAAAGCATCTTGTTCGCCTCTTCAAAGTTATCTGCAGAAACAGCCTCGGCGCATTGCAGGAGTAAAGTTAGGAGGTGAAGACCTTCCTCATCTCTCTTCTGCTGTTGCCGGATCTCTTCTTTCTTCTCTCTTGTCACTACTGTCGGTGTTGCTGATGCTGTTGTTGCCGGTGCTGCCGAAGGAGAACTTTGTTGTTGTGGTTGGTGCTGCTGCTGTTGCTGTTGCTGGTGCTGGGGCAACGATTGATTCAAGGTGAGTAGTGGTGGTGCAACAGAAGGGCTGGTTGCTGTTGAACGACGGACGTCTTGACTTCCTTCGTGGGTTGACGATGGGTTTGCTTCCAGGCTTGTGTACTGGTTCATGATCATGGCATGCTGAGAGGAAGAATCTGTGAGGGGATAAGAAAGAGGGTTATCAAGCCCGGAGGCTAGATATAGCTTAAGGCTAGAAGAGCCTTGAAACGGCTGTCTCTGCAAACTCACCGCCTCGTTCCTCCTCCTTTCGTGATGATGATCGGCGAGTGGTTCCGTCAACGAGCGGAGCCTGTACTCGAGGAGCGCGGCGAGGTTTGGGTTGCAGGGGTAGATGATCTCCCTCACGTTTTGGATGAGCTGAGGAATCGAGACGCTGGTGGAGCTATGGATGAGGTCCTTTATGACGCTATCGATCCACGCCGTCGCTGTGGAAGAATCATCCATCGGGGAGGGGCTAAGAATAGGGAGAAGCCCTCCGGCAGAAACAGTGGTCGTCGTTCGGTCTCTTTCCGAAGGGAACAAGGGCAGACCGGAAAATCCACACACGGGCCCGGTCTGGGGCGGGGGCGTGGGAGGAAGGGTGTGGAGGGAAGAGTCCAGATAGTAGGTAAGGTTAGAAGAAAGCCCAGGAACGCCTGACGTCAGAGTGGAATTTGTGGGGTAAGGTAGGATAGCGGAGTGGTTATTGGGGATGGAGATGGGATTCGGATTAGTGGTAGAATGATTGTTATTATTGTCCAAGGAAGTTGCATTACAGGGTTGAAAAGCCAAGGAAGAGCGGTCGATGACGGGGAGGGAATTGGTGGTGGTGGCTCGTCGGATGAACCTATGACAATCTCCGCCAGTTTGGAGATCAAACTCAGAAGCGGTTCTCTTCCTGACAACCATCTTACCGTCAACTAGCAGGTCGTCGTAGTGCCTTAATTGTTGTGGTTGGGCTACTGCTGTTGATGGTAGTGCTGGTGGTGGGACGTTCCTTTCCTCACAGCTGTTCGAGGTGCTGCCTAATCGACTGCTGCCGCTACTGTTACTGCTGCCACTGCCGTTGCCATTGCCGAGCAAAACGCAAGCGGCCATTGGATGTTGCTACGATAAAGAAGAACAAGGTGATGCTGCTTCTGTTGATCTTTTACATGGAAGCGTGAGAAAGAATTCTGATATTGATTAAGAGGGTGGATGGGTCCTTGACTTATTGGGATGAGGGCATCCAAGCAGATAACGGTGGGGGGATTGGGACATGGCGGTCGGATTCCTTCCTATTAGCTACCTAATCTCACTCTGGCAACCCTCCCAATACAACACGACCTCCCAGGCGCTTTTCATTGTAGATTTATTATTTTTTTCATGCTCCTCTTCCATAGTTCCATGTGGATGTTTTGTTTCTTTCTTCGAGATCGAGAAGAAGCGAGCTAGGAGAATTGGGCTGGTGGTGGTGGTGGTCGTGAGTTTAGCTAGCTAGATGTTTGTGTGTGTGTATCTATTTGTGTACGCTGCGGCCTGCGGGCCTGCGGCCGTGCATGGGACTTGGATATGGCTTGGCCGCTTGAGTACCAAGAGCGGGTGAGATAGCTGCTCTTTGTTTCTTCCTCTTTTCTTTGATTTCCCTGTGAGCTGGGATCTATCCCCTGTGATGGTTCGTCGTCGCGTGTTTGACGCGTCTATGGGAAGTCTCGACTCTATGAAATTTCAAAGCTCGAGGGTTTGGTGAATCGACCAAAGATAACAGTCTATGGCCTGTATGCCATAAGGAATCCAAATCACCCGGTCCAAACTCAGACTCGGATATTTTTGGCCTCCGGGTCTCTAAACTTACGCCATCTTCTACATTGACCAATGAAAATTCATCAAAATTCACACGAACCCTTTTCACTGTGGAAGTTCTTTCCGTATCCATTATCCAATTGGGATCTCCTGCCAATAGAATACATTCTAACACCACACATCTCAATAAGAAATTAGGACCTACCATAAAAGCGGGACCTAGGATCTATGGTGTCACATGATGTTGGTAGGGTGTTGGAATGGAATTTGTTGGCAGGTGATATGAAGTTCTGAACTGATACCAAACTGGTCTTTTGAGAGATCAGTTTCTGTGCTTCCATGACTGTATTTACACTGTTCTCGTAGCCTTTTAGAGCCATGCGTTGGGAATATCTCTGTACTATTTATTTTCATGGACAAGTATTTCCAATGCAATGAATGTTATGAGGACCTTTTAACATTAGGCTTTGTTTGTTTTTCGGTGCCAGGGGTACTATGTGAGCAAAAGTTATTTGAGCAATTGCCTTACTAATATTAGGTTGCATGGACGCTTACTCAAATAAAGACTTTGCCAGGAGATTTTAACATTTTAATAAACTTACCCATTCTCAAGAAAGTATTGATTATCCTGCAAAACTGATACTTTCGGAAAATTGTTAAATTACCAGGTTCACCAATTTATTCCCTGCGAAATACCAATAAACAAACAAGGTCTTACAGAGTTTCATTAGTGAAAACCCCGATCCAAAAAATTACTAATTAGCGACACTTGATGGCTGTATTAGTAACTACTTAACAAATAACAAAGCCCAGTGCGGCAGTGCCCCCACTGGGCTGCCGCACTGGGCTGTGGAGCCAATGATAAAACTCCATGTCAGCACCTCATGTATTTTATCACTATGATGGGGCATTATCACTGGTTCTACATTTGTTCAAGCCGAGGTTCAAAACATCAATACATCTGTGTACGTGTATCGAGAGAGGCGTATCGGTATTTAGATACATGCGGAAATATATTTATTTTTAGTTTTTTTTAAATTAGTTTTGGGAATTAAAAATAGGTAATTTTTTCAACGTTTTTGAACCGCTAATGACCTAGATGGTCGGACTGTTCAGCCTGGGAACCGTTCAGGCAATTGGTTTTGTTTTATCCAAAACCCAGAATCTGGTTAAAAACCGTTGACCCAGGCGGTCAAATAGTCGACCCATTCAACGGTTTTTGACCATTTTTTATTTTTTAGTATTTTTAATTTTGCTGTCAGAACAGGCTGTCCATTCAAACTGGATGGTAGGACCATTGACCCGGAAACCGGTGGCCAAAATGATTCTGTCTCTTGGTTGTTTTTTATTAAAAAAAAAAAGTGGATTCCGAAATACTTGTAAATAGGTGTATCGGGACCTAAAAGATACGATATGATACACTCAATATGGGGTGTATTGTATCAAAATTTTTAACCTTGGTTCAAGCTAATCTTAATTCTACAACCACTCCAATCACTTCGCTTACATGGCTAATATACGGTTATTATTGGTTATAAAACCCCTAATACAGTCTCCAAGTATAGGGATGCCAATGGATCGACATAAATGGTAAATCCATCTTGGACTGACCCTATAAAGTTGGATTAGGGTAAGATTTATTTGGGTGTTGGGTTCGATTAGGGTTTTGATGCTTTGATCTGAGTCAAGTTTCGGCTTCACTACCTTGGCCTATCGGGTCAGGTGTAAAATGTGTCGTGCCAGCCCGTGGGCCGTCCTGGGCCATGCCTCCCTCCTCTTGGATATTTTGGGGGTTAGCTCAACTCAGCCCACAACCCGAGATCGCACGGGCCCCGACCAGGCTGGTCCGTGGGCTGAGCCTTGGGCTAGGTTGGACTGTGGACGGGACCAAAGTTATTTATTTAAAAATTGAAAAAAAAACTTAAAATTTTAATTTTATATGAATTTTGATGTATACAATTGTTTATATATACAATAATTAAATAAAATAGTATAATAAAATTGAATATTTGTTTATTTTATTAATATATTATGTACTATATATTATTATATAATTATAATTTATATAATATATTATATATTGTATATATAAATATAAAAAATATATAAATATATATAAAATATATATGGGTGCCACAGGAGGCACGACACGATAGTGTGGGCTGTGCCAGCCTGACCCGCTGACTTGAAACCCCAAGCCTGGCATGGCCCATCAGCCCATACAAATCATGTCAGGCCATGGCACGACCTATGGACCATCAGGTTAGGCTGGGCCGGCTTAAAATCATGTCGGGCCACAGGCTACACAGCCCAATTTACACCTCTACATATATAAAAGGTATTTATGTAATTTGGTATTATTTCTACCTTCATAGCCTTGAAATTTAGGGTTTCCTTTCGCGTCTGTTTCGCATTTAGTTATTTCACACATTACCCCTAAACTAAATTTATGACTCTTGGGTTTTCAAAAATGTGTTATAAAAAATACAATTTAAACACTATATATTTGAATCAAGTCGTTATTGGGTTAAATATGGAGGGTTGTGGCGGGAATGGAAACTGCATGTTATTAAGCCAAGTTTTGGTGGAAGCAATGGTCTGGGTACGTGAAGACAGATTCATACCTAACCTAACCCATTGACATCCTTAGTCAATTGCAACTAATCCAGTTCATGATATTTATAAATATTAATATAATATAATATCGATAGATAGATAGTTTTATAGTTATAATTTATATAACTATCTATCTATAATATAGTTCTAATATAATATAATACAGAATTTCATATTTACATAAATTTTTTGTTACTATAAAAAAAATTAAAAATGATCATTCTTTTAAATTTTAGTTTTTCTTGCGGCATTTGCTTAAACACCCCTATTGCTTTACGTATTTACAAAAACCTACCCTCTAGTTTGCATATTACTCGAACATCCCCTATAGTTTGCAAGTTCTTTACTTAATTGACCTTTCATTCAAAACCATTTGTCTTTCTGTTTAGGAGTGTTCACGTGGCCTCTTAAAGCAAGTAGAAAATGTTAGAGATTATGGGTCTAGGGATTTTTATTTTGAAAATACACCCATCGGTTTCAATATCACATCTAGCCCATGTCATCTCGAGACCAATCTCTAATTTGGAGGGATGGTTTTGTTTCCTAAAAATTTGATAAGAGAACTACTAAGAGATCTTGTGGTCATTCCTAGTTTTGAAATACAAACGGTTCCAAGCAGAAGGTCAATTAAGTAAAACGGTTACAAACTATAGGGATAGCTAGAGGGTAGGTTTTAAAAAATCCCTAAAGGGTAGGTTTCAAAAAATGCATGAAATTATAAGGGGTGTCAAAGTAAATGACCTTTTTTTCTTTGTTTTAAAGACAATGGAGCATGCTAGGATGGAGATTGACTTCCCTCAGGGCAAGCCCGTTCCCACAACCAACCGCCATTTGTAACCTTGCATTGAGAATATCTCCCCATGTAATAAAGCACACAAGTATGAGATATTCTCAATGCAAGACTGTAAAGGCTGCTCTAATAGGCTTTGCCCTGACCGAAGCTGAACTCGCTTGGATGAGTCTAATTAAGGGGTGAAATTTCAGTACTGTCTGTCAGGCCTACAAATTTCCGGGCTGGGCCTGGGCCTAATATGGCAAGCCTAGCTTGGACCCAACCTGGCCCACATATATTTAAATATATGTGTGTTGTACATAATGTATATATAATGTATGTACATATTATATGCCATTTAATATAAAATATTATATTTGTGATACTTTAAATATAAAAACGTAGGCTTCGAATAGTACCTGATTGGCTATAGCCCTTACCATAGGTACAAAGTTCAACCTGATCCGGCTCAAGATCACCTCATCACCCCTATTCCAAATCCAACTTGAACCCCTAGTTATCAAAGGGGAAAAAAACAGCTTGAAAACACTGAATTTGATTGGTTTTCAAAATGGGATTTAAATTTTAAGTAATCAAATTGGATTTGGATGTGTAGGGAAGGCAATTTCTACGCCACCTGGTGGATACCCACCCCTACCTGCCTGACAAGCAGGTATTTTTGCTTAAAAGACATTTTAGGATTCTATAATGAATACAAGTACAGATAGGGTCCCAACCCTCCCCAATCCACGTAGTGTTGGAAAGTATATACACTCTATGTATTAAGTGTTGAATTTAATAATAGTTTGAATTTTATATAAAAGGATAATTGATAGTTGTATTTTTTACATGTCTTAATCAAATAATTGGAAATTTTGATTTTTGTTCATATTATTTGACTTATTTATTGCTTATATATAACAATAAATAATAAGAACTTAGTTGTGGTTCTAAACCCAATCCGCCCTATCCTTGAATGCGAAGAGGATAGGGTTGGGGAGGAGTTTGCATTTTCATGTGGGGAAAGTTTAGATTCTCAAACTCCAACCTGCTACAGTTTTGAGGCAGGTTCGGGTTGGGAGGTTTAGCAGAAGGATAGGGTACAAAACCCTCTCTGAACTTGCCATGTTGTCATCCCTATAGATGTGACTGGAACCAGTTTGAATCCAACGTGATTATAACCCTGAAAACCACACATTTTCATCTTGGTTCGCCCTATAAATTTCAAAGCTTGGGCTTGATGGTTGGGAGTGTGACAGGTTTTATGATTTCTTGTGGGAGTTGGTTTGAGTCTTTGTAGGGATGGTTGTCATGCTTTTCTTTCTGTTTCTCACAAATGATGTCACTTTGTTATAGTCCTAATTCGTACAACATATAAGAGATGCGAGAAGGATCTATAAACTGTACAAGTTGAGGAGGTTAGTCGAACTGATTCGCTTCCGATGGCACCTCCAAGAGAGAGATGGCCCCAAGATGTGTCCCTGGGGGAGAACTCTTGGATGCATAAGTCACTAAGGCTATGTTTGGTTTGAAGGAAAAGACAAGGAAAACAATACAAGGGTTGTAAAAGTTCCCCTACCTTTCCCTTCGTTTCCGTACATCTTCCTTCAAACCAAACATAGCCTAAGTGAGCAGGGCATCGTCAGATAGAGTTGAGAAGGCTGACCGGGTGAGGAAAGCAATGGGCAAGAAAAGAGCAAGAAAAGGGCTATAATGTGTGTACTTTTTTCTAGGGTAACTTTACCTATTTAAAGAAGAGGTGT